GAAGCCTCACCCTTAATGGTATTGCGAATGGACGAAATTCGTTTATCCTACGTTTTTAGAATGAATAGTTAACGGCACCGGACAGAGGCCGAGCGAAATTCCCTGGAAGTTCCTCCAATTTCTGGTTTAACTACGTTTAGCCACACGCGATCTTCTGTTGTCCCAGTGGAAGAGGACTCTCTCTGTGTCTCCCTGTCTCTCTCTCTTTCTCTCTCTATATATATATATGTATATATGTATATATATCTTCCCTCTTTCTCTCCCTCTCTCGCTCTTCTCTCTTTCCATCTGGCTGTCTCCATGGCTCTGTCGAGCCGAGCTGACCGTTTTGTCTCCAATGCTGATTCCAATCGGTCCAGTTGATCACAATAGACCACGGTAGCGATCGTTTGGTTCGGCTTTGCTGGTTCAAAGTGTACAACTCCTTTCCGGTTCTATGGAACACGAAGGAGAGAGGCCTGCCGATAGAACAAACTCGTCTCTGTGCTGGGAAACACGGCCACTGTCTGGCATTAATGTTATTATATAGCGGTGACCCGTAGACGCATCCCCCGAGATGTCGGAGCGTGTTCGTGGAAAAAATCATTTTCAGAAAATTCGTGGAACAACCACCTTTCCGAATTTCGTCGTTCCACGACGGCTCGTTCGATGCAATTCTGCGAAACAGGTTTCATTGAAATGGCCACAATGTCGCCGGAAAAAATCGTAGCTGGACGCGTTTGGTCTTGTTGGAAAGGGGAAACTTCGTTCTCCAAAATCGCGAGTGTTTCGTTGGCTGAAAAAATTTTTCGATCCCGTCGTATGTCATCAAGTTGATGACATACGAAAAACGAACGTGTTCGAACAAAACGTGGCCGCCGAGGGAACAGCGATTCTAGATTAAAATCACCGAGACGTCTTGAAAGTACAGATTTCGCTCTTTCGAAGAAGCTTAGATAGATCTTCGTACGATCTCGTTCAACGAAGTTACGGCGCTTTGAACTTCCTCGAATTTTCGCTTTACATTTTACGACCCCGGAAATCGAGTGCTTCGCCATTCGCGGCACACACTTTTCATTCGAACCGGTGTGAAATGTCCCCAAACAATCGCACCGCGACGTTTCTGGTCCCGTTCGAAAGAGGAGACTCCGTTCTTCGAGAAAATTTCGATTCGATTCGCCGAAAAAATTTGTTACGCCTCTCGGAGGTCTGCGAAGAGGTTTGGTTTTCGATCGTTTCGTTCGAAGAAATTTTCCTACGAAACACATCGCATTGTTCATTCGCCGTCGCGATGTCTCGCAGGCCTTAATATTAGTCCGCAATAACGCGCATCCACTCCGCGACAACGGCGTTTGAGTCATCAACGCTTGCATCCGTAATCTAAGTTACAGCAAGTCGCGCGGCGTGCGAGCGCGCGCAGCGTAACACGGTTTAATAAAACATTTCATCGCTTTTAATCCGGCGGGTGCTTCAGCGCGCGCGTGTAACCACAGTATTTTTCCCCCGGAATAACTCAATTTTTCATATCCATTGGACACGAGAGCCGAATCACGTTCGCATTAGCTACGGGAAATTCCGCGAGAAAATGAAAATAAACAAATTCACGGATTAATGGATTCCATTGCGGGAACGTAAAAAGCAATCCGGTCGCGACATTTTTCGAAAAACATTCCGCGGAGATGCGAATTACAGGATCGATTAATATTACGAATCGCGTACAGCAAATGTGCTATTGCGCGCTGTATGTCCCGTGCGCGTAGGATGCGTTCGCGAAACGGTCGATACGCGTTCGCGGAGCCGGGCAGATTTCAACAATGACAAACAACGGACTTGACAAACCGGACAACGGGTCGTCCGGCGGCGAATTAATTCATTCGTGCGCACGGTTATTTCGCACGGGCATTCGTTAGTTTCGTTTCGGCGGAGCACGGGCCGGGTAATCGCGTCCGGTAATTAGTGCAATTAATATTAAATAAATTGTACGAGGCGGCGCGGTGGTCGCGCGGCCCGCGCGTCCCAGAAAAGTCTCCGGCCGGAAAGTTGAATACACCGTGAGCTAATTAAATCGAAATAAATTGCTCGCTAAATAGTAGCGATCGGTTAATTCCCGATTTACGACGGCAGTCGGTCCGGGCCGGGCCGTGCCGTGCCGGGCTTGCCGGAGGAACGTTTATTAATCTCGTTTAAAGGGCCGTCGCCCCCCGGACTTTTCATAGAATTCTATCGGCCGGCTCCAATCGAATCTAAATTCAATAATCTGATTTCGCGGAATTGCATCGAATTTGCATGGGAAATATCGACGGCGGGCTGACGCGGGGCGGGCCCCCGCGCGCAGCTGACGCGCGGCCGAAACTTTTCGTCGCGGCTCGAACAGCCGCCTACAGTATTTATTTCCGCGCCGCTCGATTTCGCGGCAATCTCAGGCGGCGCCGTTCTTCCGTTAATCCCCGTCAACCTCCGTGGAATCATACCTCCTCCCTCGGATTTCCCATTCCGGCTTGTCGGCCGCGTGGAAACGCGTCATCCGTCCCGACCGCGCGCACAGGACTCCGATTTCACGGCGACGCGAAACCCCACGGAATTTCCATTCGCTCGTTAAATAATTCCCAAATATTTATGCGAGCGCACGGAGTCCGTATTGTGTACCGCGTAAACACCACGGACGGCGTCGTTTCGCGATTGATACGTAATGCACCGCGTGATGCAGTCGCAGCTAACTCATCAGCGGACTGCTCAGTTTTCATAAAGCGCCTGCGAGCGCGAGCCGCGACCCGATCGGATGCTTTCGAAAACGCGATCCCGATAGTAATCCATCTACACTGGTACCCCAATCTATCAGGAAATCCATCCTACTAGTCTCAGTAACTGGTCCAAAATTTTGCTATGGACCTAGGTGGACCAGTTACTGAGACTAGTGGAATTCATTTTCGGGATTCTTGAGATCTGTCCAGAAATCAATTCCACTAGTCTCAGTAACTGGTCCACCGAGATCGATAGCAAAATTTTGGACCAGTTACTGAGACTAGTAGGATGGATTTCTTGATAGATTGGGGTGCCAGTGTAGATCGATTTTTTGTAAATGTTATATATACGCTACAAGATTCCTGTGTACAGCATACGCTGTATATACAGTAATGTCTCCCTAATTCACGCTCTGATTGTCCACTAAATTGGATAATTTAGTAAGAGGAGATACGATTATTTCAGCCTTGCTGCTCGTCTTTATAATTGTTGACAATTTATAACTATAAAAACGAACCGAAAGGCTCGAATAATCGTATCTCCTCTTCCCGGATTGTCCATTTTTCTGGTCAATCTGGGCGTCAATTAGAGAGACATTACTGTATTTGGTCCCCTTCGGCTCTGGACTCCCGTCGCTCGCTGTTTACGCGTCCGTCTGCAGCGAATCTCGTAATCACTGGCACAGGTGTTTCCGATATCATCGTCAGGTACCGTCTTTCTCCCGTTAATTTTCTGAATACTCGTTACGCGCCGCCGGTTGAATCGCGAAGAGTACAGGAAAATTAATGCGAACGATGTACGTCAGTCGTATCATGTTAAATGTAATACGTAATAATTATCGAGTTAATCACATGTGCAATTGAAACGGATTAACGGGAGTATCAAATTGGTATGAATAATGCAATCCGGGCTCCGAAAGTGATGAAGATTATTAAATACAATATTCATCGCGCGCACAAGCATACGTCGCCGATAAGCTAGATCTGCACGTAGAACACACGGACGGAGCGACTATGCATACATATGAGTGGCAACGAAATGTACTTGAATACATGTTGTTGCTACTATAATATTAATAAGCTGGCGCAGGTTACAGAATATCGTTGAAGCATCGATTGAAAGGCTTCGATTCGGTAACAACGCACCGTAAAACGCTGACTGTCGACCATCCACGCCATTATTATTCTCGTTACCTTATACGCTAGCTTAATATTTATAGTCCACCGGCATAAATAACCGGAAACCGTTCGATAAATTCATTCGTCTCAACGTATATTAATATAAAAATTGGTAGAAATAAAAGTTCGACACTGTAATTTGCACGAGATCAGAACACGGACAGGATACTTTTAACGCCCGGTGCGGTTGTTGTTAACCCTTTGGAGTTTATGGGGATATATGCGTCCCACCTATATACTGTAGGATATGTAGATATGTAGGATAACCTACGCTAATAAAATCAAGCTTTTTCGTTATTAGCATCTACGTGCACGTAAAACTTGACTTCCGATAGAACGCAAATGAAAATAAATCGGACACCAAAGGATTAATCGTTAAATTATTTTGCAGGCGATAACGAAGTCGAGGATCATCGCGCGTTAATAGGGACGATAAGTGTCGCGAAACTCCTGGGAGAGCCCTTGGCCGCGGAAAGACGATCCATGAAAGTCGATCGATGAAAAATATCGCCCGGATCGGATTTTCGCAAGATCGGCGAATCGCCTTCTCGTTGCAGCAGCGGCGGAAAGCTTTCGGTTAATCAAAGAAAACTTTCCTCGTCCCGGTATTTATGAAGCAGAGAATTGTTCTCTATCTACGCCGCAAGAAAATGTCCCGGTCCACACAAACAAACTTTCCTTTGTCCGAAGTTTTACGAAACACGGTGGGCTCTTCCATTTTCACCGCGGCGAAGGATATTCCGGCCAGGAAAAGAAAAGGCGGGGTGGGTAGGGGGTTGGAACTCCTTCGCGTTTCTTTCCGCAGAGGAGTTAACGAACGAGTCCGCGGGCCTGGGACCGGACTAATTACCAGCGCCGGCAGGTGCCACCTCTTTTTACCGAACCGGTAGAAATGCCAATAGCGCGTCAGTCGGCGTTACGCGGTGCCGGTGCACGCGGCGAGAGAGCTATCGCGTATCTGCTCGGCGAACGGCGAGAATCGCGCGATCCGGCGACGCAAAAAAAAAGGGAAGAAAAATGACATCTGATTATCGGTGTCACGTACCCGGTTCGCTTTCCGCCTTTTTTTAATTAATGAGCGCCGCGACGCGTCGGTGGTCACGTAAGCACCGCGTTCCAATTATCTGGTTCAGCGGCCGCGTGGGGCGGACAGAAGAAAAAAAGGAATTTGCTCAATACTGCGGCAGAGAGGCGGTGTTCCGATCGATTGAGATTTCCTCAATTAGTATAACAGTAATCGCGCGCGGATCCGCGTCTGTGCTCGGTTCCCGGGAAACTCGTAACCGACCGACGCAGGCCTTTGCGTCGACGACGACGACGACAACGAGAACGACAACGACGACGACACCACTGCGGCTCCCGTAATTTTCCGAAGGAGAAGCGAGTTGTTTGGTGAGTTAACGAGTCGTTTAAAATTCCCACGGAATTTCCGGACTTGCCATTTTTATTTCCCCGCTTTCTCGGCCGCTTTCTCCCTTTCCGTTCCCCTCGCTCGCCGCTGCGACCTTCTCTCGACTCCGTTCCCCGTCTTTCCTCTCTCTCCTCCATTATTTCAATTTTCGTCGTCGCCCGTTGTTCCCGAGCCGGCCGCACGAAAAGTTCTCGCCGACGAAAAAATAGTTCTCTTTTTAGGGAGAGAGGAATTGTTCCGATGGACGGGAAATTCGCGTCTAATAATCGGCCGCGTTGCACGGTTTTTACGGAGCGCAACAACGACGACGACGACGCGTCCCGAAAACTTGTGACTCCGTCGTCGACGAGCGTTTCGAGGACGGAAAAGTCGTCGTCGGCGGAGGAAGCGGGCGCTGACGAACTATATTGTCGGCAAAATAAATCGAGACGAACGTAACGCGGCCGGAGACGGTCCCTCGGTCGGAAGGAAACTTGTTTATTTCATTTACTGGCTTCAATTTGCCCGGACAGATTATGGCGACCGAAAATATTGTGTCCGCCTGACGGACGATTTTCTGCGGGGACCGTGCCGCGTTTCCTCGTCGAACCGACCGACAGCCTCCACCATGAGAACGCAATTACGGAATTGCGCTGCCGCACTTTACTTTCGAAAATATGACGGGTCTTTGTGTCGACGCCGCGCCACAACCCTTAGCACCGTGGACATCCGCGATGACAGCTGCAATTTTAAACGGTCGAAGGACTGGACGAATAGAACAGCATTGGCGTACTATATTCGAGCTAGCAAAATGATTAGGGAAAGAAAGAAATTCACATAGTGGCTCCTCTGTTTCTTACAATTTGCAGGAAATTCTCTCTAATTTTCCTTTAGCTTGCGAACAAAAATGCACAATTTGTAATCATTGTATCTCCTCTTCCCAAATTGTTCATTTTTGTTTAAAAATTGAAGGAAAATTAGCGAGAATTTACTGTAATCTGCAGTCTAGTCATCGTTCGTGAGGCTTTTTTTTATACAAGATACAAATTGCACCAGTTGCAAAATACAGGAGGTGCAAAAGATATTCGAACAGCTTTGAATATAAATTTTAACGCAATAACTTTTTTAAGACTGGATCAGAATTAAACGGCAAATCAGCAGAATTTGGCGCAATAACTTTTTAAAGACTGGATCAAATGACTTCACAGTATCATTCGTCGTTGCAACAATTCTTCACGAATTGCAACAAACATGAATCAAATAGATATTTCTTTCTTCCTTGAACAAAATGTCAGCGAGTCGAAAATAATACATGGGCGTCCTTAAATTCTTTTAACATACTCGTTCTTTTAAATTCCGCCCGACCATTTTTCCTATAAACGCGTAAAATCCGCGGTCTAATAATTAGCGACCCATAGGCAGCGGATTTTTCTTCGCTCACGGCGTATGAAACTTTATAAAGTGCAGAGAATCGTGAAAAATTGCGCGGACGCCCGCGGTATCCACGGTTTCAGTACAGTTTTCGAATATAATATCGTAGAACAAGGAAATCCCCAGCCAACAAAACCAGAGGAACTCGTCGACGTTCCAGCGTGAATGGACGTCAATCGCCATTTGGCTCCGACGAAACTTCGACAAAATATCGGGATTATAAAAACGGATCCCTCTGTAATAAAACAGATCGATCAATCCGTAGCCACGCGGTGCGGCGACCTGCGGTCTGTCAACCGCGTTCCGGCTTCTCGCGCAGCAGATATTAGACTGCCATTGTCTGCTTGGCTTTTGCATTTTCGTTTCCTTCGGACCGCGAGCGCGGGATCAACGGACTCATTTCCGTTTCTTTCGATCGGTGACCCGATTTTAAAGGGGTCAGCACCGCCGAGCTCCCAGATGTAATCACTCGAACGCATTGCCCGGAACCCGTAACGCCTCTAATTCCCTTTATCGTGGCCAGTAATTACTATCGCGACGCTGCCCTTTGACTATTAGCAAACGTTCTTTGAGGCTTCTCGGACGATCCCGTGCACGACGGCGAAGTTCGTCGAAAAAGCGGCAGTTCTCGGCGAGCAGATACAATATCAATCGGACAACAAGCGATATCAATTCGGACAGCGATAATGCAAGAGGCGAAATTAGACATAGATTAACAGCTGAGTGGTTCGAGATTGCGTCACGCCGGCTGGAAAAAATCATTGGATCTCGAAATACCGATTGAATCTGTATGTAAATAACAGATCGCGAGTTCCGTGCATTTCTGATCACGACCGGTGACACCAATTTTTCGAAGCACGATTAGCATAATCGATTCTAACTTACGGTGCATCTAAATCGTCTCTTAATTACTCGATTGTCAGCGATCGAATTACACAAAATACGTTTTGAAAAATTGCTGAAGAAAGCTTTAAATCGAATGTAGAACATCGCCGGTTGTATAATTATGATAATAATTAATTAATGGTCCGTCGACTGTATAGTATATCACGAAAGTATACGAACAGTTTTTGAGACGCAATGATTTTATAAAAATTCGGCCAAATTACATTGAATTAGAATTTCTTAGGTACGGTAAAGTAAATTAGTCTTTCTAAAATCTAAAAAAGAGGTCGAGTAATCGCGTAAGATTAAAAGTTACCACGTTTTAAAAGACGTTCGAATGTGTACTTTCGCGAGGTACTGTACGCAGAAGAACATCCATTCAGAGTTCTATCATTCGACAGAACTTTTATTTCGTTATCCGAGTTGACATTTGTTCGGCACTCGGACAGCTAGATTTTTGAGATACCGATGAAAGATCATTGTTAACTCGTGATTCGATATCGATAATTGTCGTCGGCCGTTTATTGCAGCTCCTCCGCCTCCCGCCGCGACCGGATCTTCTGTTTCGCGCTGATCCCGCCGGGTGCTTAGTTTTATTAACCTTATCTACATCCTAAGGATTATAGCCTTCTGGTTCCGCGGCGAAAGTTGTGTCATCTGTATGTAGATCCGGCTGCAATCGATGTCCCAATCCGATGAAAATGCTCGCCGAAATATCTCCCGCACGACCCAATAATATTCTACGAAAATTCATGACCCGCGCCCGCTTGCGAATTCCGAGCACGGCTTCCCCGCAGGTTCGTTAAAAATCGCGCAAACATTTCTCTATCGATCTCGACGTTCGATATTAAACATTGTCGCGCATTGTTGCGCCCTTTGGATTTTCCCAGAAAGACAAAATGGTGCGGAACAACGGGTCGCAGCAATCGCTGAAGGCGATGACGATCGGCGATCCAGAGGCCTTCGTTCCCTCGACGGTGAAGACCCCAAGGTCGACCTTGGCGCAGAAGCTCTTGACGACGATCGACTGCGTGAATCACCTGCTGATCGGCTTCCTGACCGCCCTGACCCTGTACTACTCGGCTCGAACCTTGGGCACCCTGGACGTGCATATAACTTTATGCACCCTCGGGGTATGTGCGCGCAATCTTTTAGCCGAGGCGTAACACCCTGCGAATCGTCCGGGGGTAAAAGGCTGAACTTCGCTCGCCAGTCACGTTTCCCACCGGCTAATAATTAGGTCCGCCATTGCACGCTGCACAATGACCTGCACTGGTTCCCGAGCGCTTCCGTTATCTCCTCGGTGTCTTCTCTGACCGCGATCGTTATGAAATTAGCCGACTAATCCCCCCGCAATTGTCTGCGACCGTCCGATAGCAGTCGCAGTCGTTCCACCGTGTAGTTTCGGCATCAAAAATAAGCTAATTGTCCGGGAATCTTTCGTTGGTTAAATTAACAATTCAACGGCAGCGCGTCGAGTTACAGTAATGTCTCCCTAATTGACGCTCAGATTGTGCAGAAAAATGGACAATTTATGGAAGAGGAGACACGATTGTTCGAGCCTTGAAGCTCGGTTTTATAGTTGTTGACAATCGATAACCATAAGAAACGAGTCACGAGACTCGAATAATCGTATCTCCTCTTCCATAAATTGTCCAATTTTGTGAGCGTCAATTAGAGCATCAATCTGAGCGTCAATTAGAGAGACATTACTATATTTTTCTGCCGTTTCGCGAAGTTCTAATCATTTCTATCACGAATACGCAAAAGTCTGCGCGAAATCGATCAGAAATGTTCCAGCTGTTCGACGTCGCGGCTATTTTTAACGTCTCAAGAATAAATCAGCATCCACGCGACCAAGAACAATTTCTCTTTGTCAACAAAGCGAATCGTGTCAGCGCGCNACCACGTTTTAAAAGACGTTCGAATGTGTACTTTCGCGAGGTACTGTACGCAGAAGAACATCCATTCAGAGTTCTATCATTCGACAGAACTTTTATTTCGTTATCCGAGTTGACATTTGTTCGGCACTCGGACAGCTAGATTTTTGAGATACCGATGAAAGATCATTGTTAACTCGTGATTCGATATCGATAATTGTCGTCGGCCGTTTATTGCAGCTCCTCCGCCTCCCGCCGCGACCGGATCTTCTGTTTCGCGCTGATCCCGCCGGGTGCTTAGTTTTATTAACCTTATCTACATCCTAAGGATTATAGCCTTCTGGTTCCGCGGCGAAAGTTGTGTCATCTGTATGTAGATCCGGCTGCAATCGATGTCCCAATCCGATGAAAATGCTCGCCGAAATATCTCCCGCACGACCCAATAATATTCTACGAAAATTCATGACCCGCGCCCGCTTGCGAATTCCGAGCACGGCTTCCCCGCAGGTTCGTTAAAAATCGCGCAAACATTTCTCTATCGATCTCGACGTTCGATATTAAACATTGTCGCGCATTGTTGCGCCCTTTGGATTTTCCCAGAAAGACAAAATGGTGCGGAACAACGGGTCGCAGCAATCGCTGAAGGCGATGACGATCGGCGATCCAGAGGCCTTCGTTCCCTCGACGGTGAAGACCCCAAGGTCGACCTTGGCGCAGAAGCTCTTGACGACGATCGACTGCGTGAATCACCTGCTGATCGGCTTCCTGACCGCCCTGACCCTGTACTACTCGGCTCGAACCTTGGGCACCCTGGACGTGCATATAACTTTATGCACCCTCGGGGTATGTGCGCGCAATCTTTTAGCCGAGGCGTAACACCCTGCGAATCGTCCGGGGGTAAAAGGCTGAACTTCGCTCGCCAGTCACGTTTCCCACCGGCTAATAATTAGGTCCGCCATTGCACGCTGCACAATGACCTGCACTGGTTCCCGAGCGCTTCCGTTATCTCCTCGGTGTCTTCTCTGACCGCGATCGTTATGAAATTAGCCGACTAATCCCCCCGCAATTGTCTGCGACCGTCCGATAGCAGTCGCAGTCGTTCCACCGTGTAGTTTCGGCATCAAAAATAAGCTAATTGTCCGGGAATCTTTCGTTGGTTAAATTAACAATTCAACGGCAGCGCGTCGAGTTACAGTAATGTCTCCCTAATTGACGCTCAGATTGTGCAGAAAAATGGACAATTTATGGAAGAGGAGACACGATTGTTCGAGCCTTGAAGCTCGGTTTTATAGTTGTTGACAATCGATAACCATAAGAAACGAGTCACGAGACTCGAATAATCGTATCTCCTCTTCCATAAATTGTCCAATTTTGTGAGCGTCAATTAGAGCATCAATCTGAGCGTCAATTAGAGAGACATTACTATATTTTTCTGCCGTTTCGCGAAGTTCTAATCATTTCTATCACGAATACGCAAAAGTCTGCGCGAAATCGATCAGAAATGTTCCAGCTGTTCGACGTCGCGGCTATTTTTAACGTCTCAAGAATAAATCAGCATCCACGCGACCAAGAACAATTTCTCTTTGTCAACAAAGCGAATCGTGTCAGCGCGCTGCAATTATTTTAATTCGTCCGCTCCCCCGTTCGAAGATTGCACTCGGCCCGGTCGCGAGCGCGCAAGCCCGCACAAATTAAACAGCGAGCAATTATCAATGGTAAAAAAGGCGTAACACGCAGTTCGAAACAAAGTTGTCCGGCGAGCGGAACAGCGCGCAAAAATAATCCGCGGGACGATCGACCCGGTCGCGAGATTTTAATGGAATTTGAAACAGTTGATTGCAATTTTCGCGGGAGCGGCTCGGCGACAGAGGGGGGGAATCAAATTTGATATCCCTCTCCTTCGACTCGGTCTAATTACGACGAACTTTCCAAGCCGGCGAAGTCGCCGGCGAGCCGCCGGCAAAAGACCAACAAAGTGGAAAACAACCGGGCCGATCCGGTCGGAGTGCAAGTTCCGCCGCGATAAACAGTCGCCGCGAAACAATTGTCGAAGATCGGGGCCGGGGGAGCGGGATTCCTCCACGCCGGTAAGATAATTTACGCGACGGTCATACTTTTTTCTTCACCGGGGAAGGAACCCCGGGTTCCTTCGGGGAATGTTAAATCACCGGGTTAACGGTTGCGGTGGCGCGCGAAAAGTTTCATTCCGCGAAAAATTTTCGAGCGGTTTAATCGTCGAAAAAAAGCGCGGCGAACTTCTTCGGCTCTCCCGCGAAGAAAGGAGCGGAGAAAGGGGTGACAGAGGGGGGGCTAAGGGAGAGTGCGAGGGAGGGTCGAAGAAGTTCCGGGGTAACCTTGCTGGGTCGGCAGTGTCGGCGGGCGATTGCGCGCGATTCAAATTGCTCCATTTATTTTCCACTTACACACCCCGGGGCTGAAACGCGAAATCGAAATTCTGCAATGACCTCGAGGAGCTCTCTCTCTCTCTCTTGCTCTATTGCTCTCTCGCTCTCTCGGGCTCTCTCTTGCACCCTCGGTCTCCGAGAGACAGTCCCGGGGTGGCCAAAGAAGTTCTAACGACTTGGCGAAACGACTGCAACTTCCACCGTTCCTTGACGACCCGACCCCTCTTCTGCCGGTTTCAGTACATCCTGCTGATGTCCGAGGGCATTATCTGGCTGGCTGGCGAGGACGTCATCACGGGATCAATCTCTCGACAAACCAGGAAACACGTGCACTGGATCCTGCAGGTCCTGGGCCTCGTCTGCGTCATCGCCGGAGTCGCGGTCATGTACAATGTGAAGAAATTCCACTTCAGGTCGAATCACGGGATACTAGGCATCTCCTCCCTCGTGATCATGCTGTTCCTGGCTATCTGGGGTTACCCGGTCCTCATCGCGGCCAGACTCCGGAAGCTGGTCAAGCCGGTGATCATCAAGTTCGCCCACAATATGCTCGGCATCGTCTGCCTCGTCCTCGGCATGGCCGCGCAGATCCTCGGCTTCCAAATGAAGTGGCTGCCAGAGGATATTCCACACGCACGGTTGCTCGCCGTCATTCTCACGGCCATCGTCACCATCCTCACCGTCAGGAGCGCGTTGCCTAAGCTCTGCTCGCAGTTCTCCACCATCTTGTCCAAGCGGCAGTGAAGCGCCGGCGTTCCTGTTGATTTCTTTGTCGCGGCTGATCGGAGAACTTCGTTTGCTGCGAAGACTGTGAATTAAGACTCGACTGCTTAATAAGTACAGTAATGTCTCTCTAATTGACGCTCAGATTGACGCTCACAAAATTGGACAATTTATAGAAGAGGAGATACGATTGTTCGAGCTCGTTTTTTCTGGTTATCGATTGTCAACGAGTATGAAAACGAGTTGTCCATTTTTCTGCACAATCTGAGCGTCAGTGAGGGAGACATTACAGTATAGCTAAATTCTGTGAATACCGGATCGCCGAATCCTGATAACGCAGAACACAGAATTTTCGAAGTAGGGGAGAATGGGTACTTCTCTCTAAAGGTGACATATTTTACCGATGTTTTCGAGATTATCGATGCTTCCTGCTTCTCCGATTATCATTGCGTTCGCTGGACAATGCGCGGAATAATTTCTAAACCTGCCGCAGTTGGCTGGAACGAAATCATTTTCGATCAGCCAAATGACGAACGAGTTTCCTCGCTGGAAACTACGTACTATCAATCACAGCTTCCATTGTTCCCGCGTTCTTTCCGCGACGAATCGTCTGCCGGAGCAGATACACAAGCATCGAGAGACAAGTATCCGACAAGATCTTCTTCGTTCGCGGTATCCTAAGCGATTCTAATTTCACTGGAAACACGTGTTACGCAACTGCGGTAACAATGAATGTAGCGTTCGCCGACGGCTCGGCGGGCAACGAGTCACGTTTTCTCTGCCGCAGATAAATCCTGGGATTCCTATTAAATTTGCGCCGGTGCGCGAACACATTGGAAACGCGCGAGGCGTCGATCGGAATTATGTTTTCGAATAATACGAAACGCGGGGCCGTGTGTAACGGGGGTCCGGGGGACGCGCCGGTGTGACAAGGTCGGAATTTATATTTTGAGAAAATCGACGGGCCACGGGAAATCCTAAAGCAGGGGGTATACGCGTTTCGTAATCGGATCGGTCGCGATCGGGGACACGCGCGTCGACGCTCGGTTAAAAGAGTTATTTTCGTCGGTGTTTGAGGCCGCGCCGGACGCGCTCCGTCGGATCGACGGGCACGGAGATAAATATTATTTACAACGGAGACCTCTCATTTGCGTGGCGACCGCTGGCGGAACACGGGGAAGCCCGGCTGCTGGGAAATACGTGAACGAATCGCGCGATCGGGCCGCGTAATCAAAGTTCAATTATATAAAGTCGTTACGGCCGAACGTGTCCGAGGAAGATCGCCGGCACGATCGAGGATCTACACGTGGATTCAAAAGGATCGACCCGTTCGGGAGAGTCGAGCCGGCGGGGTCCAGGGGTCAGGGGTTCGGACAAAAGCCGGGATTGTAATTCTTTCGCTGTGCAACGTCGCGTGCCCGATACTAAATTCGTTGAAACAATTGGCTACGGATCGGTCACAAAGGGACTGGCTCTCTCTCTCTCTCTCTCTCGCGGAGACCTCCGCGGGACAATACGCGTCGAGGACGTTAATTCGGGCGAGCGATCGCTGGGCACAGAGCTCGACGTCAGGAATTCGTTAACGATTAAAGGTCGCGCGCTGTCTGCGCCGACTAATTAAAAGAAAAAAAGACCGGCGTGGAGCGGACGGAGAGAACTGCAATCTCGGATCGGGGATCACCGGATCTCGCGGGGTCCCGACAAGCTCGCGCGAAACGTTCGAGGTCAACTTATCGGACTTAATTTCCCCGGCGCGGCGCGATTCGAGCGGAGAACGTTCCGGCCGCGCGTTGCGGAGGTCCGAAGTCCGGAAGACCGCATTGTTCTCGCGATTTAACGCCTCGACGGGTATCGCCGGCCGATTCTGTTTAGCCGAAGATTATCTCGTACGTGATGATCGGTCGCGTCGATACTCGCGATAACGAAAACATCCACGGATTCGTGGAACTCGCGACGAACTCTCGCGCGCGGTTCACGATTAATCTGATAAGAGGATCTTCGGATGGCCGCGGGAACTTCGCGAATCCGTTGTAAGACGATCGATTAGCTTTTAAGACAATAATCGTCCGCCGCGTGTCCGGACTTTCGGCGACGATCCGATGCGTTAAATTGTTACCCCCCGGTCGAGGGACAAAACGGACTGCGATCCGGCGAAGCGGATTGTAATTAACGCCGCGCGTTTAATGTTAATCTGTTCGCGGCGCAATCTCCTTCGCGCGGATGATTAATACATTCGTTGACACTCGATAAACTGGACGTGACTGATAGACTCGCGCCGTCCCCCCTTCTCCCCACATCCGTCCAGCCGCGATCTCGCGTCGACGTTTATTTCGTGACTTCGACGCACCGCCGAAGAAACCGCCGCAGCGTTTCAGACACCGGCGTTATTTATCCGCGCGCGGCTCCGCTGATTGCTACATCGACCGGCAAGCTCCCGGATTAACGCGAAGCGGACAGACACGCGTTCCGTGTCCCGAATCGATGCGTGTCGTTCGTCCGAGCCGCACACGCGCGAGGCCAGAACCCGTTAATCAGGAAATTTCGCGCGTTTATTTTTTTAACGCGCCGGAAAGCGCGTTGAGCCGCCGATATCGAGGGATCCTTCGTAATTCCATTCGTCGGTTCACCTGCCCGGAGACACTGTTTCGTCCATGCACGCTGCCGCGAGTTAATTTTTGTCGCGCGTTAATCTTCTGTCTCGTTACCGGATCGCCTGATCGGTCTCGCGCGGAATCGACGAACTTTCTCGCTCGGTGTTTCGCGAACGATCTCTCCGATCGTCGCATAAAACGATTGCAGACCGTGTGCGCGAACTTACTAGAATAATCCAGCGGACCGCGGATTTTCGTGCGAAATAAACGCTGCTTGTCTCTCGGTTCCGCGGAACGAGAGTCGACTAAAGATGTGCTGAATTTTTTAAATGGTTTCGCAGAATTGAAAATAATCGCGTACGCGCGAGATCCGCGGTCTCGTAACTACAACGGAATTTCTGTTAATCGCGATCTCGGCGATCGCAGCGCTGGCGCAAATTCTTATTTGTACGAATAAATCGCGTGCGCGCGGAAAAGTCGACGCGTATCAAATAATTGGCGCGCGGGACGCGCCCGGCCGATAAATAACGAGGATTACCGGTCGATGCTCGATCGGGTTAATAAAACAGAAATGCTATTTTAGCGGCTGTGTAACAAGAATTACGGAAACGGAGAGTCGAGCGTGCAGCGAAATTTTTTAATTGTTCCCGATAATCGTTAGCGCGGGACAGAAGAATGATCGCCGTATCGGACGGGTCAACGGCCCGTGCAATGAACGATTCCGATTTGAAAAATCATTTCCCGATGCAACGAGAATGTAATACAGTATTTTAACTGTTCCGTGGAACGGATCGCAAACAATGACCCCGAATAAAAACAATCATGAACGGCCTGTTTTTCATTCGGGCCAACGTTCGCCCGCGCAAAGGCCAATAAAAGCTGCTGCCGCTGCGCGGGCCAGTTCATTGTTTACCCTTATTTTATGCGAGCGTGTACCAATTATTTCGCGCAATTTTCGAAATCAATTTGCACGCCGAACGCTCGTCGACCGTTCGCCGAATTTGTCCGGGGGCGTGCGCGGCGAGACGCGCGCGGATACGGAAATGCGATTGAAACGAAACATCGGAATCGTTCCGTTTCGCGTTTCGTTCGAACAAATCGCGGGAATTCGCCGGAGAAACAACGCGTCGTGCCGGTTCGTCGGCGTTCGAAGTAGCTCGAAACGAAATTCCGATTATTCGCGGTCGTCCCGCGTTTTGTTCCGCGCGACCGTGAAAAAGAGAGAAAAAAAAACGATCGCGAAGATCGGCGGCCGCAATAACTCGGGAAACGTCGCGCGAACGTTGCGGACGCGCGGGTCCGGTTTAAACCGGCAATCGAATCCCGGGATCCCGCGCGTTTCCGAATGTTTAAGCATCGTTATCCCGAAAAGCTTTCAAGGGAATTCGATCGTTCGAATCGCCGCCGGAACGATCCGGCGTTTCGCCCGCGCCGCCGATTCGCCCCGCTCGCGGGGCTCCGACCTTTAGGAAAATATTTTTCCTTCCAGCGAGCTGGAATCTCGAGTTTCCGGCGGTAATTGATAGCCACGCGCCCGCGCTGTTTCGATTACACCGCTTTTTTTTTCCCCGCGTCGACTTCTGCCAACAAAATGAACGCGGTTGAGAGGTAATCCCATCGCGCGCGCGGACGCTCAACAAGTTAATCGACCGATAGAAACGGCCGAAGCTGTTTAAATTCGGCGATAGAACAATCCGCGGTCCGCGGGCAATAAAATTTCGCGGTCCGCGAACACGGCGCGACGCGGCGCCGCTAAAATATGGAAAGAATTGATAAGAGTTACGCGGCCGGAGCCGCGGCAGAGAGAGCAACGGCGGCCCCGGATCGCGCACAAAGGAAACCGCCGCGGCTAAGTTATTATAAATATTAATGGGGACTCGAACAACCGGAAGGTATGTATACGCATGCAGTTTAAAGCCCGTTAACGGAGCTCGCGTGCTCTATGAATAATTCACGGCTTGCCGCAAAAACTTGTAATTCATTACATATTCACGACACGTCCGGTAACTGCGGGTTCGCGCTCGAATTTTTCGCGGAACACTTCTAATCTGTTGCCCGGCTTACTTCTGCCCTGTTAATCCTCTCCTCTCCTTAATTTAACCTCGACGAATCGGACAGGGTTCAGCACATTTTCTGGATAGACGGCCCTCGAACAGGAATACATATATGGACAGCGTAATTGATTCAAGAGTTTGCCGCTCGCGTGGCAGGTTCTACTGGATCGTCTATTAGGCTTCGGTTAAATTACGAACGTTTCTATAGTTATAAACGGATCGACGAACTCGCAGATATTACTATTAGGTCGTGTCATAAATAACTTCCGGTGCAGCCATATTGCTTGTATCTACCCACTGCGAGTCACCGAGAGACAAACGAGTTTTTGCTTTCATTAAATAGATAGGGATTCAAAATGAACAAAATAAAAAAAAAGGTTGGAGATAAATGAAACGAAACGAAATAAATGTCTGATAAATAGCTACTGTCTTTTTTATCGGGTATTTATTTCGTTTTGTTTTATTTGCT